TGCATTAGCTCTGGGGATTCACCTGACAGCCCGTAACAGTAATTGAACGATTTAGCCAAACTTCTTGTATTTGGAATATTTGACCGACGTTTCGCAGTGTGTTCATAGAGGACTACCCTGGACAGGAAATTTGATGAAAGAAAACGACGGCGATTGAAATAATTGTCAGCAAAGCGCAGATATCCAAAGTCTCGCCTAAATGGTTGTGCACTGATTTATTGGCCTGATGAGGAAATCATGAAATAACGTGGAATTCACAAGTTCGACATGGCATCGAATTGTATTAAGTTTTCGGGTAATGCTGAAGTCAAGCAGTTGATTCTGGTAGCCATCTGTCAGTTGTATGTATTGTTGTAGCTATCTGTAGTAACATCTAAGTGACAGATCACTGATTAAACTCGCGTAATCAGCAAAGTGGAATCAGTAATCCAAATTAAAATCATAGGTTTTGAATATTCTGACAAAATATTCGTACTGTACTGAAAGAGAGCCTTTTTCTGATATGGAGTGGGATGAAACTTTTTAATGAAGAAAACAGAGATTCCCATAAATTCAAACACGTGATTCCAAAAGTCAACGATTTAAGGCGGGAATTTAATGAGCTTGAGTAATCCTTACAGTAAAATCATCAGACGAAAATGTCAACCTTGTAAATGACAGTAGTTTCATATTGTATTAGCAGAGAACTACCGAGTGATGTATAATGTTATGGATCAAATCAAGTAATTTGCAGAGATGACTACCTGCGATTATGTACATTCTGACTCGCAATGAAATGAGGTCGCGCTGGCTATCAGATAAGACGCAGTGTCTACGATGGAATCTTACAGTATAACAGAAATGATCGACATTCACTGTTTGAAAACAGCATCGCATTGCACCTCGAGAGAGGTTTTCATTCACAACCAACTTGAAGGGTAAAATCAATATGTCAATTTGTTCCAATGACGTTTCTCCAATAACATAAATTCAAACTAGCGATCGCAGGATTTTTGCTGACGTAGATGATGCAGTTCACCAGCGTGGAGCTGTGCACATCAAAAGTAGGGACCTCAGGATCGATCGCTGACAACGATTACTTGTTTGCACACAATCAGAGTGCACCTGAACTCCACGTTCCATCTGAAGGGGTCCATGTGCAGGAGAATATTTACGCAAGGTTATGCCACTTTCTCAACCAAAATATTTGCGAGGTTTTCAAAAGCAGCGAATGCGAGGACGATCAACAATTTGAATGGATGATACCATCGCTAGAGGTCATTTGGAGAGAATATCTAAATTGGTGAAATTTCTCTCTGACGTGTGTCATTGGTGCCACGTGTTTGATTCATTCCTCATAACTCTACACTTCGTACGTTGTGATGGAGGCCTACATTCGCAAAACCATTCCTAATAGAGGCCTGCAGGTGACACAGCACTCTTCAGTACTAGTCAACAGGACAGTAGGACTTGCATACTTCGGTTCAAGAACGTATGTAGCGGTATATCTTGAAATGCGCCTTCCCCGTAGAATGAGACCTGTCTCTTTGCCAGGATTGTCACTGTTGCACAGAAGAATCGTGCTAATGTTGAATAGCAAAGGCGAAAGTAGACCTCACCTGCGAACTCTACAGTTAATTTGAATTGATTCAGTTAACTGTGTTTCGACGCTGACAGCACAGATGATTCCTGCATACATATGCTAGAAAATGAAATCACTGTGTGCATATATAGCAGCATTTTAAGATCCTACGGATGGTCGATGATGTGCCTAGTCAAATGCAGCTTCAGAGAGTAGGAAACTGGCAAAGTAATACAACATCAATTAATTGGCATTGTTCAGTGCTCAGTTTATTGTGTTACTGTATTTATTACTCTGAACTGCTATGAATATGACGATACCATGGGTCTTAGTCTTAGTTTTCCGCATTGTTCCAGCTTCCCTTCCTGCTTGGACGAGCCTCCACCAAGGTGTGGTAAAAATCACACTTACATATAAAGTTTGTCCAAGTGGAAATGAGAACGGTGTAAAAACGTAACGTGAAACAATAATTTAATTGACTATGAATATTAATAAAAATCTTGATACAAAACCGATTAAGAATTCAATATTGTACCTGTATCTTGAGGATCTAAAAGCAAAGACCGTTTTTCAGGGAAAATCACTTCGATTGATGTCGAGGGGTTGAAATTTGCACCGTTCATTTCTAATCCCTAACAACCGCAAGAGACATGTTATCGATTTCTCGCGATAGGATTTGAAGCCGTGCGAAAAATTTTTAGACGAATGTATAATGTATAAAAAATGCATAATTGAAAAAATGATGCATTATTCTCTGCGAATCAGTAGATCCATCTTCCCGTTCAAGTATATTAATCATAGCTGTTGTCAAAGCAGTGATGCAACACTGTTACACAGTTGTCAGGTTTAATTCTTAGTAAGTGGCGACGAATTTATTTTGCTTAATTGCGATTCCCGCTCGCAAGAACCAAAAAATCCGGGTTTCC